CCTTTGGAGTGCAGGATGACGCTCCAACCAACTGAGTCACCCAGGGCAAGAGCCAGGTTTGTTTGTGTGTTTGTTTTTTTTTTAGAGATTGTCAAATGGGTTATCATTGTTTTTAAAAGGCCCTTATTTACTTGCTCTAAAAACACGCACTGAGCACCTCCTACAAGCCAGGCCCTGTTAAGCATGAGAGGTGGGAAGAGGAGACAATCTCTGACCTTAAGAAATTTACAGTCTGTTGCGGATGGAGTGGATGCCGGGAGAGAGTGACAGATTATCATCAAGTGGAGAGAAAAAAGCTGCATCCGAATCTTGGAAGCCCAACGATCTCTTTTTCTTTCTTTTAAAAAAAAAAAATACATTTTATTGATTTTTTTTATAGAGAGGAAGAAGGATAGAGCGTTAGAAACATCGATGAGAGAGAAACACCAATCAGCTGCCTCCTGCACACCCTCTACTGGGGATGTGCCTGCAACCAAGGTACATGCCCTTGACCTGAATCCAACCTGGGACCTTTCAGTCCGCAGACCGAAGCTCTATCCACTGATCCAAACCGGCCAGGGCCAGGGCCCAGGGATTTCTTTACGCAGGCTTCCTGGCCTGCTGAGAGAGCCGGTGGGCATGAAGTGAGTGGCAGGCTCCCACCCATCACACTTCCCCAATTCCCTTCCCTGACATCCGGGACAGCCCCGGGCAGCACGTGGCTGTAGGTGAGTGACCGCACGCTGCTTCCTAGGCTGGGCCAGCCCCCTTTTGCAGGAAGTGAGGCCTTGAGACCAGGTTCTGACCAATAGGAATGGAGGAGAAGTGCGTCACTTCCGGTCTGCGGCCTGCTGCTGGTAGGAGCTCCTGCCGGCGTCTTCACCTCTCCTTTTCCGCCCGCGAGACGGCGGGGCCTCACGTTCCAGGTGGTGCGGTTCCAGGATGGAGGAGGTGAGCGGGACGTGAAGCCGCGCAGTGCGAAGCCGCGCAGATTCCAGAGAGATTTCACTTGCTCCGCTCACCTGAATACACTGTGTAATCAGTTGTTGTCAATGAGAGGTTAAGGGGAGTGGACCGAGGAGTTTCCGGATGGATATTTCCATTTGTAGTAAAACTTCCTTTTATTGGATAGGAGAAAGGCGTTAAGGAGTGCTCATTCACTATCCTGGCTCGCTGTCTGCTTCTTGGTTTTGGGAAAAAAGTCTCGTTAACTTGAGATGTTTGATAGTCGAGGCAGGCAGCCTTTATGGGAGCGTGAGGAGAGGACCAAGAGAATTCTAGAGAGGACGGCCCAGAGCCTAAAGGTTGTGAAACTGTCCATCTAACCTGGGATGGTCTGACTCGAGACTTTTAAAACAGACAACTGATGACCTGATGGTGTCAGTCTTTTCTGTTGTTTGCATCTGAATGCATCTGTCACTAGTTGCCAATTAGGATGAATGAGGACTATGGTTCTAGCAAGGATGGGGAACCTTTTTTCTGCCAAGGGCCATTTTGATATTTATAACATCATTCACGGGCCATGCAAAATTACCAACTTAAAATTAGCCTGCTATATTTGGTCAGATATTTAATTAACTCTCCCCTATTGCCTTGGCAGGGCCAGATGATTTCTTGGGCCTTAATCAGCCCAAGGCCCAGATGTTCCCCATCCCTGTATGGATGAGGAAAGTGAATGGAGGTTCTTGGAAACAGGTCATATCACTGTCTTATCTTCATTCCTATCCACACTATAATTATTGTGTGTGGTGTGTGTGTGTGTGTGTAATTGAACAGTATTTCCCATCAGCAATGTGCTTTCACATATATTTTCTTTTCTTTTTAAATATATTTTATTGATTTTTTTTTACAGAGAGGAAGAGAGAGGGATAAAGAGTTAGAAACATTGATGAGAATCATCGATCAGCTGCCTCTTGCACGCCCCCCACCGGGGATGTGCCCGCAACCAAGGTACATGCCCTTGGTTGTATAAAATCAATAATATATATATATATATATATTTTTTTTTTTTTTAAATGCTAGAGTTGATGACCTCCCAGTTCCAGTCCAACTTGGACACTGTTGGAAGCCGCCCATTGTCTTCGCTAGCAGAAAGGTGTGGGCAAGGAACCGGAAGGCTGGTTAACCTTGGGCTCTGAAAGATCAGAATTATGTACCCACTGTTCAGTTGAGACAAAGGGAACTGAAGCAACTTCCACCTTTTAGTCTTATGTTAACCTTGCTGATGGGCTATCATGGAGCTGAGAAGTTTGGAGATTTCACATTTAAAACTTCTAGATTTCTCTTGGAAAATCTGAAAGATTAGTCACATTGGACTCATCTGCATGGAATATTAGCTGGAGCTGAACAGCTGTGCCCCCTTTGGATGAAGGTGTACATTTTCCAGTCTCCACAGTCCAGCTGGCTGGCTGTCAGAGGCTTTTGAATTGGCTCCTATCCCTGAAAGTTGCCCTGGGGCAGCAGCAGAGAGCTTCTCATTGGGAGAGAATGGAATTACCTGCACTTGAGGATTACAGACATAATTCTGTACACAACGTTTCCACCTATGTGTAAGAACATTAAGAAACCAGAGTGGAACTCACTGCTGTTTATCAGACTTGTTGAGGCTATGGACCTTTACATTACATGATTTCTTTATGAAGGCACACTAGAGGAATCTCTTTATAGTCTCAGGATCATAGTAGGGGTATTCCTCTTGAATATCAGCTGAATTTTTAAGTCTTGTGTATGGTGTACAGGAGTTTCTCTGTGTTAATAGCTACAAAGCTCAGCACCAAGGTCAGAGCTCACCTGTCAGAGGCACTCCATGGCCTGCCTTGGGGCTATTTTTGTGAGTGGCTTCTTTTACTTGTCTTGTTTTCCTCTTGCTTTTTCATACTTTTTAAATTTTATCTTATTAAGAGTGGCCCGGTGCACGAATTTGTGCACTGCTGGGGTTCCTTGGCCTGGCCAGTAATCGGGGCTGATCAGAGCTATCTCACCCAGTCCCAATTGGAGCAGATTGGGGCCAACTGCCCAGGGGGAGGGACCATGGGAAGTTGGCTGGCCAGGGGAAGGAACCAAGGGAGGTTGGCTGTGGGAGTGCACCAACCAACAGGGGACAGCTTGTGCATTGAGCGTCTGGACCACTGGTGGTCAGTGTACGTTACAGCTACCGGCCAGTCGTCCAGTCATCAGGTTCTCCAGTCGCAATAGTCACTTAGGCTTTTATATATAGAGATAGATAAGAGTTGTATCTTTGAAGAGTCAGACTTTCAATCAACATTAGAATGAGGCAAGGTTTAAATAAACGGCTCTATCCTACATATAAATTCATTATAGCACTTCCTATATAGTGTATTATACTACCTCTTTAGATTTTAGTCTCTTCTACTAGATTATATTTTATTATCATTGTGTCACTAATACCTAGCCCAGAGCCTTCTATACATAGTGGGCATTTAATAAATGTTTGGAGTTGAAATTAAAGATGTCAGAGGACTCCCATAGCAGGGGTCCGTGGAACCAGGTGGAGAGATTTGAAAAGGCAGAACTATTCACATAAGAGGGATGGAGGAGACCAGGTAGTGTGTTGTCATTTTTCTAACTCAGACTTCAGTTACGGCATCACTTAAGTATATACTGCGTTTGGAGAATTCATAAAGGCTTCTGGCATGGTGGAAAGAAGATGGGTATTGAAGTTGACTTGGAGTTTGAGACCCAAGAATGGCTTTTTTTTTTTAATGATTGTGGAGATTTTGTTTAACTTTTCTGAGCTTAATATAGGTTTTGGTTCCATTGTACCCTCACCTTACTTTACACTGTGTGTTGATCTGTAATCTCCCTGGTACTCCTCTCAAGGTAAAAATCTTAGACTATTTATATACATACATGCTAGACATATAAAAACTTATTAAATAATTTTATTTTTTTCTCCTTTATATTACTAACAGTGGCCCAGTGTTAAACATTTTGAAAAACCCAAATAAAAAATTTTTGGTTTACACAAACAAGTATAAAAATATATTATCTGCTCATTACATTGCCAGCTTTAAGAGTGCCAAAAATAAGTAAATAAAATACCTGCAAATGAAAATGCGAGGGCTAGATGGTTTTGTTAAAATTTGTTTTAACAATTTTAGCTGACCAACATGTGCTAATAAAATTCAACTTAGTTATAGCTGCCCTGCCACTGGGGCTCAGCGGTTGAGCGCTGACCCATGCACCGAAAGGTCACCCGTTCATTCCCAATCAGGTCACATGCCCAGGTTTCAGGCTTGATCCCTGGTGGGAGCCATGCAGGAGGCAGCTAATTGATGTTCCTCTCCCATCAATTTTTCTCTCTCTCCCTTCTCCTCTCTCTCTAAAAATCAAGAAAACATAATTAAAAAAAACAAACAAAAAAACCCATAAAGTTAGAGCCAGTAAATATGACAGAAAATATTGTGTGTGTGGCTAGTTAGAAATATTCCTTAAGCAGAATCTGCTTTGTGCTTAAAACATAGGTAGGTTTACAGTTTCAACAGTAAACAGCAATACAGACTAAGAACATTCCCAACGTGTCTAATAACCGCTCAATAATAGCAAGGGAAAAAAAGAGCAAGTATCACCATCTTTTAACAATGGACTCAATTGTAGGTATATCAAGTGCTTAGATAAAAAGTGCTAAGTAAGACAGTAAGATACTTGGTTAATTACCTTCGATTTTTAAAAACCCACAAACACAAAATATTTGCTTGCCTGTGTATAGATTTAATTCACAAATAATTACCTGAATTATCTTTTCTTCATCAAGTATTTTAACAGTGCAAAATGTTAGCCATCTCGGCATACACTAAAGCCTAATATGAACCATCTCAGGTAGGTATCAGTGCCAAATAAAACGCAAAGCAGCCCCCAAATACAGTAAATCACTGTATGCCAGAATCTCAAGGGAAGATAGGCAGTTTCTTATAGAGGAGATGAAATAAAGAATTCAAAATGTTCCTTCACTAACATAAGATACAGTATTGAATCTCTTGATAAGAAATAAAGAACTATTGCTACTGTGAACAGTATTCAACGTGGACGAGTAGATCTCGATGTTCGGTGACTGGATACTGGATATTGCACTTGGGACATTCCACCAGGCTCTCGTTCAGTGCAGCTGGAGGACTTTTTGGTGAGGCAACTTTTACTCTGTTTTCAGTCTCTCCTTGGAAAGTGACTAATGGCTCTGTGAAGGCAAATTCAGGAAGCTGCCTCTGAAAAATAAATGTCAAATGAACACCATTTATACATAAGTTGTAACCGCTCCACAGATCCAACTGCTTCAGCCCTGCAGACAGATTTTTTTTTTGAATCTCTGCTCATCACTACTGCAATGCTAACATATAAATTACCCAAATTACATAGGAAGTACTAGGGCTCGGTGTTTATATGGACAGGTTTTTAAAAAATGCTTAGAGCCGAATGTAAAGGTAGGACTGTGTGTAAGGCTGACAAAATTTGCTAGTCTTATATAAGAGGAGCACTTCAGTAATAAAGAAGTGCATGGAATTAGGAGCAGTGCATGGATTTTAGCAGATCAAACAAGTTATACACAGAAATGACTAATTGTATAACACCTTTGAGACTTTCCTTTTCCATGTTTTCTGAGTCAATAATGCTTAAAAATGAGAATTTCACAGTAGTTTCTCATGACAGACAATAGGAATACAAAGGAAGTATAGGAAAATAATGGATTCTTTTGTATACCCTCTGGTTTCCTATATTTTGAGAAATAGTCATTAACAGAAATGGGTAAATTTCCAATACTATTAGTGGTCAGAATCAGTAATATACTAAAGGATAGAGCCAAACATTTTTTTCTTTTATTCGTAAAGAAGTTACAAATGATTAAAAAACAAACAAACATTTGCTTTGTTCTCTCTTAAAAACTGAGGAATTCTATTTATAACATTTTTTCCATCTGAAATACTCAGCAGTACTAGGATGGTATATAACATATGTACTGTGGGACATACACACAAACACAGACACCAGCAGATTTAGTCTAAAAACCTATTAGTAACTTGAAAACAGATAAGTAAAAAACCATTTCCGCATAGAACCAATGTTATTTAAAAGGTTTTTCTTTTAAAAGATTGTGTGCTCCCCAAACAGTGATTACCAGAGGGAAAAAGGGGCAGAGGGAGGTAGAAGAGGGAAAAGGGGGGATAAATAGTGATGGAAGGAGACTTACTTAAGATGGTGAACATACAATACAATATATTAATACACATGATGCAATACAGAACTGTACACCTGAAACCTATATATTTTATTAAGTAATGTCACCCCAATAAAGTCACTAAAAAAACATAAAAATAGATTAGATGTTCAGAGCAACCCACAAAATGTGCATAATTCAATATGCTTAAAACAGTATTTTAACAATAATAGTCCATTATCCCTGGAATCAGCATTTCTTTCTTTCTTTTTAGATAGAAAAACAAAATCTCCTCCTTTACTCTTTTCCTTCTCCCAAGCTGGGTACTTTTTTGACAGCCTAGGGTGAGTGGCAGATGGTCCTAGGCACCAGTAATGTAATGATCACCCAGAGGCACATAGGGTCCCTCTTTCTAGGGATCTGAACTGATGCTCAAAGGTCACTTGCTTTAAATGAGGCTAGGGCTCTGCCTATTGATTGGAAAAACAGCTGTTCTTTAAGCAGTATCCTCCTAGTTTGGGAACTGGCTGATATATACTAGTAAATGGGAAGAGGGCAGAAAGAAAAAGAAGAAAATAATTTTTAAGTTGAACCATTCCAGACTCACCAAGGATTCCAGTTGTATTATTTGACTTCTTGCTTTTCGAAGCTCTTTAAGAATTACATGCAATTGATGCTGCACATTTTGACGGTCAAGTTTTTCATTTTCAAAATCTAAAGTACATGCCTGAATCTGGAGAAATGCACAAAACAAGATAGTTACAGCTGTATAAACTGTCTAGTTCTTGACTGGAAACTTGCATATGGTGATAGCCAGAAGGAAACAGAGTGGGAGAAGGTAGAGAAGGGGGAGATAAATGGAGATGGGAAGAGACCTGGCTTTGGGTGGGGAGCACATGATGCAGTGTGCAAATGATGTTTCACTGAGTTGAAAATCTGTATGGTATGATTAACTGATGTCACTCCAATAAATTCAATAATAAAACAAAATTAATTAAAAAAAAAAAAGAGAAGTTTATGGTTGAGGACTTGGTTCATCTAAGGAGCAAAGCCAATGCCTGAGGCATAGGGATCTCTCCATCACTTTTTTACATGGAAGGGGGAGGAGGGAAAGAGATGGCTGCTTCTGGTTTGGAATGTACTAAAATCTCTGGTCCACATTCTGAGAATAAATGTCTTTGAGTTCTGCTTGAAGTTATAAGGTAGCCCTATTAGGGAGATGCCATTAGGCTACAGTAGGAACTACAGAGCCATTTGGGGAAGAATAAAATTAGCTAAGGTGAACATCTACCTGTCAAGAAAATTGCCAGCTTCACTTCAGAGGATCTACTTTAGCCTGACAACAGACTTTTAAATGGTCCTTCACAAAATAGTATAAAGATGAGATACCTTCCCTTTTCTAATGGGTTACAATGAATTTAGAAACAACCGCAGTGAGTACCTGTTGTTCCAGCAGAGCTACCCTCGTTTGTTCCTCTTGGTGCTTTAGCAGAGACGTGTAAAGAAACTGGATCTGTAGGGTGTAAAGACAGACAGTGTTGCCACATCCAACTTTTTTGTCGCTTGACCTGGATGCATGAGCAGCTCAGTAGCCTCATAGCTCTAACCAGAACACCACCTGCTCAGCTGAGTGAGTCACTCCAGCTGGCTGGCTGACGGCTATTCATGCCAGCAGCTGAGCAGTGCGACCCAGGCTAACAGCTCCCTGAGGCAAAGGCTGGAAGCTGATAACCAGCACAGAACTCCAATTACCTCCCCACTAGCTTTTGGAGGATTTTTAAAGTTTCTATTCCAATAGTAGAAATCACTAGCAAAACTCTTTTACATTCTCTCAATTGACTTCACAAAACCCCTATGATAGAAGAAGTATTAATTTGATGTGGTTTACCTGCAAGTCAGAGATGCTAGATGATTTGCCTAAGGCCACACGCATCCTAGATTAGAGACCAGATATAAACTCCAAATACTGTTCTTTCCATTATCCCATGCTTTGCTAAAAATTAGCTTAATGAGTTTCTGTCAAAGAAGCATTTAATTTCAATAATCCAAACTCAGTACAGTAGCACCCTGGCATAAAGCTAGAGGATGAGAGCACGGAACGTGGCTCGTGAATTAACGAGCATGGTATCAGGCAAGGCCTAGGGATCATCCTGATTCTCCCCTTGACATCTTTTGGCTTCTCACCATACTTGTTCCTTCCTTCTCAGAGCCTCTGAAGTGTCTGAGTTCCTCTGGGTGGAGAGAATTCCCAGTGTCACTCACCATGCTGGTTCCTCCTTGACGTCAGATCTTTGTCCAAATACTATGGTATCTCCTCTGTGAGGCTCCACTGGCCCCCAATTTCTCTTTGGCATATTCCCCTGTTTTCTTTAATTTGTTTATGGTCTATTTCAATTCTAAATATGAATAATACCCACAAAAGGAACAGTAACTTTTTTCCTTCCTGGTTCCCTAATGGCTAAAATAGTCCCTGCACTTAGTATGAGAAATTTGAATTATAAATCATGGACAACCTCACTGGTTAGGCTCACCTGAGATAAGAGCTCTTCAGATCTCTTCTTCTCTTCTTCAATTTTTCTCCTCGCAATAGCATTCTCTTCCTCGAGCCTTTGTATTTTTTCTGTTTTATGCCTATCATCTTCCAGATGTTGTGCATCTGCCTTTCTTTGTGAACACAACAGTTTATTTAGATCATGGACTTCTTTTTGGGTTTCTTCATATTTTCTTTGAAACTCATGAAGTTCTAAATTCAACTGAGTTATGGTTTGTCGTTCAGCCTCAAGATCTTTTTTTGCTTTTGCCAAGAGAAGGTACTCGTGTTTTTGCTTTTCTTCTTGAAGATGACCTATGACAAACACAGCAGGGCATAACTCACTTTATAAAATATGTAATATTTCTGAAAAGATAAAGATAAACTTGTTTCTATAAACAGATCACATTATTTTCTCATCTTACAAGATGAAGAATTAAGAGATAGGGCTGATATTTGATAAGAAAAAAACAGAAGTTCAGGTATGTTATTTGAAATGACAACACTAAAAACTAGAACTAAAAAATGGCAATATAACTATTCTATGGAGAAGAAAAGTCACTAATGTCTTAAGAAGATAAATCAACAAATAGGGATATAAGCTAATTATAGGTGAGATAATCACCCAAATTAAAAAACAAAGTTAACAGTAGCTGCCCCGATAGGAGGAAACAGAGACAGGATGAGATGGGAAAGGTGGAGCAGGACCTCCCGTACTATTGAATCATTTTAGCAAACCATTATTACTTTAAACACACACACACCTATAGGTATTACTAAAGAAAAAAATTAGACTTAGCCAATAACTAAAATCCTACTTTCATGTGTAGTACCCTTGTCTCCTTAGGGATAAATAGCTTTATAGCTTTGAATTATCTCCAGAAACATTCCTTTTTATATTCTTTATAGCATTAGCTTCATTTAAAAAAAATTTCAAATATGGAGCTCCAAGATTATGAGCCTTGTCTGCCGTTCTCTCTGTATAATTCAAGGCTTCTGTTCTGTTAGGCCTCTCAAGTCATCTAATGAGTGCTTAGCATGGAGTTTCTCTTCTGTCCCTAGCTTGTCACCTGTAAAATGAGTAATGACCTTTCTGCCCCTCCTCTTAGGGTTCTTGTGAAACTCAACTGAGAGCTATGGTGAGATTCAAATGATTGTAGTATCACCTGCAAAATGCATTCTTTCTCCTGGGATTGATATGGGAATTGGTGGCAAGGCCCCTCTGAGGAATAGTTGGAGAAGGGCTTTGGAGGACATGCACAGAGGGGAAAATACAGTGTGCCTCGGAACTGCCCGATTTCCCCTGGGCCCTGTGTCTTATGCCCTCTTTCATCAGAAAACAATGGAAAATAAGACAGAATGGCCAAAATGGTATTTCTTCAGAACACCATTTTAATAAGACTTGCTCTTATTTTACTTTCTAACACGTATCTATAAAGATCTAAATTTGAGGAATCTCTCCTCTGGGAAAATGCCAGGCAGGCCTATTCCAAAAGAACATACTATACCAGTACCTTCTGATACAGTCTTTTTTGTAGGCTGTGGGAGTGAATGAGCAGCTGTTTCCAATTTCTGTTCCAATTCATAGATCTTTGCTAAAAGTCCTTTTACGTAGACCTCTCGCTGCTGATCGTACACAAGCCATTGCTGATTTTTCTCTAGAGCCTCAATGTGAAAAGATACAAAAATCAGTAATAAACATAATAATAAAATAAAAATAAATACCCAAAAATCTTAAAATGGGAAGGAAACCCAAGTGATGTAGTCTTTTCCAGCACATAAAGATTCTTATGACTCACAGAGTAATACCCTGCTTAGTTCCAAATCTATAAAAATAACTGCAAAACTGTCACTGGTCAACCGAAGATTTGAGATCTGGCTTCCTGGCATGATGGTTTGGCTCAAATAAATTCATACAAAAATTCTCTACAAGTTTGGATGTTTCTTATATCTACAAAGCCTTTGTAATAAAGCTGTCAAAACTATTTCTATAATCTTACAAGTTCTTAAATTGTGCCCCTTGTGTCACAATTTCCCCCAGGCCTGTTGTAAATTGCTGTTATCAGTGGTTGAAGTAGCAGCCAGGATGAATAACTTCCTATCCTTCAAGGCTGCCAGAGGAGATGGCACAAAGTTCTTTTAAAAAAGTTGCATGGCCAGTTTGGCTCAACGGATAGAGCGTCGGCTTGGGGACTGAAGAGACCCAGGTTCAATTCCGGTCAAGGACATGTACCTTGGTTGGGGGCATATCCCCAGTAGGGGGTGTGCAAGAGGCAGCTGGTCGATGACTCTCTCTCATCGATGTTTCTAACTATCTCTCTCCTTTCCTCTCTGTAAAAAATCAATAAAATATATATATCTTTAAAAAAGTCGCATGGTATAACACACTAGAATATATTTTCCAAATTTTTCAGATCTTTTAGAGTTACCCTACATTTGTCACAGGTGAACTGTAAAAGGAGGGGCTCCCTTCCTCCATAAGCTGGCATCTCACACGAGAGGGGTGAGATGGGTTAAGTCCTGAGAAACACACTGGAAGTTTCTGATTATGTATCAGGGCATCTTCTTTCAGGTAAGAATTTCAATTCTTTAAAGATATAGGCAGTTGAGCTGCATGTCCAAAAAGGTCTCTATATATGTATAGGGGGGACTGAAAGAGTGCAAAATGGGATAAGATATTAACAATGATAGAATTCGGTAAAGGGTTAATGGGTGTTTTATGTACCATTTTCATTCTTGTCACTTTGCTGTGAATTTGAATTTATTCCAATAAAAGATTTAAAAATAATTATTTCTCTAAAGTCTATATTTTAAAATGAGATTTTTTTAAAATGAAGAGCAAGAAATCTCTGTGGAAACTGCCTCTTAGCTCTTTAGTTTGATTTAGTGTGAAAGTTGCTGACATCATCAGACAGTGTTCACATCATGAACTTCATGGAATTATTTCAAAATGTTGGCTAGATTTACGTGGTAGCTGAGGATTCATACAGCTAGGCCTTACAAAAGGTAAACATAGTTTTTTAGGGCTTGTTTTAGCATAACAAACACTGATCTTAAAGTATAATAGATAGGCGAACTTCCATAGACGTTTGGCAGGAGCTTTGAGGAGGGGAATAGGACTAGAACTGCTAAGCTCTCACAAGCTGATCATGCTGAGTGTGTGTTGACTATGAGGAGTGAGATTTCTATTCCTGCTCCTGCTCCCTAAATCCACCAACTACATTTTTCCTCCTGCTCTGTAAGATCTGCAGATTCCCAAATGACAACCAGAGCTACACTCCTCCTGCTTATCACAGGTAAATGAACGGTTCTCAAAGGATGGCCCTCAAACCACCAGCAGGAGCAGCAGCAACTGGAGCTAGTTGGAAATCCAGAATCTCAGGCTCTACCCCAGATCAAGATAATGAGAATCTGCATTTCATGCCAGTCCCTAGATTCATATGCACATCGGAGTCTGAGAAGCATTGCTCAGTCTAGATCACCATCTGAAGGGGAGGTGGGTTAAACTTTACTCCATTTGTCTAAGAGCCTTTCTAAGGTAAACAGAGCAGAGAAGAAAAATGTAATCCTTAAATAATCTGGGGAGACGGAACAAAACAAACAGATTGGATATAAGCATGTAACATTTTAAAGTCCATTTCATAAAAAGACTCATTATCTAAAAATAACTTTGGCAGGGGAGGGTGGGCGGGAGGAAAGAGAACAACCAATAAACTTGTTTGCATATATGCATGTTTCTTCTTTATTTTAGTTACCTTTATGTAAATTACCTTGATAAGGGTACTACAGTACCCCAATATACAGATGCTCAACAGATTTAAATTCTTTTGAAAATTAAACAGACTACAAGGTATACTTGCTAGGTGAAATAAAACAAGAATCTTAAAAGCATACTTATGTCAGGGTAGACATACCAGTAATATTTCTAGAATCTAAATGCCTACCTAGTGGCCTAATAATTAAATCAAGAATTTCATACTTTGTATATCTAATCTTAAAGCTTGAAAAAAAAAATACACTGTGAATAGTAGTAGTCCTGTGTCCTCAATTTGTTTATTTCCAATGAAACCTACCAATCCATTTAAGACATAAGCTTAAAATAATAAGACTTCATATATATATATATATATATATATATATTTTTAAGAGAAATATGCAAATTAACCGGGATGCCATAATGGGTTGACTGGATAGGAGGAGGTTGCCTGCACAGCGTTGAAGGTGGGGCGGCAGGGGCCTCCTCGCACCTGCGCTGGGAGAGGGCTTAATCAGAGCAGCTCACCAGCTGCTTCAAGGGCCAGGGAGAGAGGCAGGGCCGGGCCAGTGACTTGTGGGTGGGCAGCACCACATGATTTCGAATTGTGCACTGGGCTCCTAGTATTGAAAATAACCTTATATCAATAACTTCTTATATCTAAAGAAGTAATGAGTACTGTATTTTCCGGCGTATAAGACTACCTCCCCCCCCCAAAAAAAAAGAAAAGACTTACTTTGCCGTCAAGATCTGCAGGTAATTTTTGTGCAATTTCGATCTTTTGCCCCCAATTTTCGGTTTACTTTTTTTTCCGTTTCAAAAGTCGTCTTATACACCGGAAAATACGGTAAAAAGAATGTATTTTCCTTTTCAAACCATGAAAGCAAAACCTGGTTCTAATGGAAAAATTTCAAACTAGAGTACATCTTGCATGGATAAAAAAAAAAAAGAAAAAAACTTTAAATTACATTATAATAACAAAATAGCTGGGCAAATTAGATTTAGGTAGAGGAGGGGTATTTGCTGTTGAGGTATTTGGTAGCGATAGGTAATTTCTAGGCCTTTCTAGCCTAACAAGACCATGATTAGAGGAACTGGCGCGGCTGAATACCCGGAAAGAGACTTAAAGGCAGTAAGTAACCTAGAGAGACGGAGAACCACTCAGTTCTCCACCTCAACAGATTTCTCATGGCATCAATGCTGTCAAATTGCATGAAATTTAAGAATGAGTGAATTAGTCCCTTTTAGCCATAACTTAACAAAAGGAAAAGGAACTTACATCTTTCAGCTGTAATTCCATTTCATGAACATTATTCATTGGTGAGGTAATACAGTGAATTTTAGTTTCAGTCTGTAAATAAACCAGCATTAGTTAACATCATAAATATAGTAATAGAAGCTTCCTCATTATACTTCACAGGGGCATCCCAAAATCCAGATCTTAAACATGCTTGTGAGACTCATGCAGGGAAAGGGTACGTATGATCTGCCAGTACCCTAAGTGGACTGGAAACCTTGAAATTTCATATCTAATTAATGTCTGAGGACCTCTGGACCCCAGGATCACCAGAATAGCCCTGAGTGCATATGAGTAGCGTAGTGGTTTGCACCAAAAGGAGACAAAATAAAACTGGGCTATTTAAATTAAATCTGGAAAATAGTAAATTGTTAAAAGATAAAAGTTAATTTCTAGTATTTATATTATAAACAGATATTATTAATTCATAGACATTATATGGAACTCAAAACATAACTTGTCTTTTTTTTTTTTTTCCCCTTCATTTTCTCATAAAGGAAAAAAAGAGAGGAAAGAGGTTGTTAGGTACCGAGGCTAGCCAACATAAAAAGCTGTATTCCAGTCTTCACTTGTGTGAATGCTAGCAAGGAAGCTTGAAAAATTTTCTCCAAAGGTGCTCTAGATACTCACCCTAATATACTATAATATATAACCCTTTCTCACTCTCAATTTGGTTCTTTAGGTGGAAACTATGACAGGGATATGTCACCAGATCCCTTTCCTTTCTGCCCTGGGCACACCATAGATGAGTTTCCCAGCCTTCCCTGTGGTTAGTGAGGCCACAAGATTGAATCTGTCCAATGGAATGTAGACAGAAATGATATATGCCAATATCATGCATGGCCCCAAACACTCTCCCAATTCTTCACAAAATCTCTCTAGTTCATCTATTTATATAAAAGGCTAATATGCAAAGGGTCCCCTCAGGAGTTCAATGGGGAGACCAGGAGTTTGATTGCTCACTATGATATATGCTGACCACCAGGGGGCAGCACAGAACAAAGGAAGGCCCTGGCTGGCAGCCAGAAGGCCCAGATTAGCCCTGATTGCCCATCAGGCCTAGGGACCCTACCTGTGCACAATAAGGGACAGGAAAGGTGAGGAAAGAGAAGGAACCTAGATCTCTGAATGACTGTGTGAAGTAAAACTTCCTACAACCCAACTTGCAATAGTCTGTGACATGAGGTAAAAAGAAACATTTATTGTAGAAGACTACAATATGGAGGTGGTTTGTTATAGCAATTACACATGCTGAATAATATAGAAATTAATATTGGATAGCTTACACAATTATAAGGATAAATTTTTTAAATGATCATTTCTACCAAAATTTAAATTTCTACCTTCCAAAGTAGAGAAACTAATTATTTTTAAAAATATATATTTTTATTTCAGAAAGGAAGGGAGAGGGGGAGTGAAATAGAAACATCAATAATGCGAGAGAATCACTGATTGGCTACTTCCTGCATGCCCCCTACTGGGGAGGGAGCCTGTAACCCAGACATGTGCCCTTGACAAGAATTGAACCCAGGACCCTTCAGTCTTCAGGCCAATGCTCTATCCACTGAATCAAACCAGCTAGGGTGAGAAGGTTTCATCACCCACTTTGGATCTGACTGTAATGCTTCGTGAGTTTCAGTTCTGTGGAAATTCTCTAGAAAAACTTAACCTCTTCGAACTCATCTATAGAAACACTCAATTGCCCATCTGAGAGTAGACATAAATGAATAGATCCAGTCACTCTACTCTAAAGGGTAGACAAGTGCAAAGACCTTAACAACGGAGACATTATATCTGAAAGCTACAGATATTTTTCTATAGGTGGTATTAATAGCTGGAGTATTAGTATTATTTAGATGTTCAAATTTCCAAAAGAATCAAATCCCTGATCAGTAAGAAACCATTTCTTGAGCACTCATTATATGCCAAGCACTATGCAACTTAACATAATTATGATATTACATCTAGTCTCTAGCATTCTTTCCTGATTTTACTAATGTGAAAATTGAGGTTTGGGGGAGAGGTTTGAATTCTAGCATTGTCTCTAAGACTAGAGAGGTTGAGGAATTTGTTCATAGTCATAGCTAGCCAGTGGCAGAACCAAAATCTGAACTTGGATCTGCCTACTTACAATCCTTGCTCTTTCTGCTACACTAGTGACTCTGAAACAATACAAGGGGAGGAAAAGCAAGCATAGTTAAGAAAAGCATGCTTGATATTGTAACTTTATATCTCAAATATGAAAAATAACAAAAATAAAGCCTATCATGATGATACATACTACAGGAAAAAGAGCTCAATAAAGTTTTCTTTGCTGTCTTACACAGTGGATTCTGTATTCTGAACATTCCCTTGGGCTAAACAACGGTGTGGGGCATGGAAGAAGCCATAAAAAAACTACAACTATTTTTGCTTATCCAGAGGGATCCAGGCTACAAAAAAAGAGTAACCTATACTATACTGTTTCATCATTTGACAATCATGTTTTAATGAACTCATACTTTATAAGAATTATCAATTGTGTTAGAAAGAAAATCTGTTTAAAGACATTATTAGTACCTGTGATACATGACATGGTTTGGTTTCAAGTTCAGCAAGTGCTGCAGGTGCAATAGACAACTGTTTTTTCAGCACATCTATCTCCTCAGACAAGGATTTCACCAGCTGTTCCTTCCTTTCGCCTTCCTTTGTTTTCTCTTCTAGCTGCTCAAGCAGTGCAGCTGTACTGTATTTGGCTTTCAGCTGGTCTCTGAGCCGCTCTATTTCTTTGTCCTTCTCTGTGAGATGATAAGCATTCTTCTCCCTCTCAACTTCAAGAACTTGAATTGTCTACATATAAAATTAAAAGAATCTTAGAGCAAAGCAAGGTAAAACTTGAAAGTAAATGATCTACTACAACAAACATTTATGAAGTATTTATATCAAGTCAGCATTATACTAGATACCCGAGCCAAGGTCTTATGCTCAGAGAGGTATAAATCAATACATTAATGCAACATGGTAAGTGCTACAGTTAAGATATATATAAAGTGGACGAGACATGGATAAAGAAAGGAGAAACCGACTTTGTCAAAAGTGGCAAGAGAAAGCTAAAGAAAAGCTGGTAATCACCCCTCTCCACCATGAGTCCTAACAATCCAAGGCCAATAGTTTAGTCACCCATGCTCATTGATGAACGTGAACTTGAAGCAACAGAACTTAAAAATTACTGAACGTTTACACCTGGATACAAATGCATTCCTTAAGTTGCTTTTTGTTAAAAATGATTTGGCATCCAATCTATAAAGTGATCACGAAAGGAGTGTACAACATTTTCAAGGTCTAAAAAGAAGGCATGGGTGTTATACTGCTCTGGCATAAGGGAGAAAGCACTAATAGGGATGATTGAAAAAGTTAAAAGAATGACTTTACATGCTAACCAAGTTAAAAACATCATAAAACTAAAAGCTTCATTGGGGGGAGGGGTAATAAAACGGGGAAAATTGAGTTGCATGATTATGTGAAAATGATAAAGGATTTAAGTTAGCTACAAGCTTATGATAAAGCAGAGTAGTATATTAGTTACTAAAAAGCCAATACAGTTTTAGATTTTCATGGGCACAGATCCAGATCAGTGGCAATAATAGTACCATTTTATTCTGTGTCACTGTGTATAATACTGGGTACATGATTCACAAGGAAAATGAACATGTCACCAAGTGTTCAGGAAAGTGGCAGGTGATAAGAAGCCAGAAAAGCTGGAGAATATAGGATTTGTCTATAGAAAAGTAAGAGGAAGCAAGGTTTCCTGAAACCTCTGAACAGCTGTCAATTGGATTAAAAGCAGACTTGTTCTGAGTAGCTTTAAAGGCCACAATTAGAACAAATGGGAAGAAATTACAGGAAGTTTAGTGTTCATTGATTATAAAAGAACAGAGATTTGACACCAGAGATTGTCAAGTGGAATGACAAAGATATCTCAGGGAAACTGTCAGACTCCTTCACCAGATTGGAAAATAATCTTTATGTCTAAGAATTTGTGATAGATCATTTCTCAATGCTTGAATAAGTATTTACCTCAATATGTATTGTTAAAAATAATAAATCATTTGGTTTTATGATGTGCCTATAAAATAGAACTTAAATCCAACCAGTTATTTTCTAACTTTAACAATATAAGTGCTACTACAAAATAAATTAAAATCAAAGGAGTGATTAAGTTTTTAAATCTTTCCAGTTTTAATAAATTTCCAACTGCTTAACTGACTATGCCACAACAAACTGAAAATTAGGGAGCCTGAAATATAGTTTAAAAGAATGCAAAATGCCAATGTATGTAATGATATGATCTCAAAAGAATCTGAAAACAAAGATTACTTGGAAAGCAGCCAATATACACAATAAAATAGGTCTCTAAATACTCATATTAATATCTGAACTCTATTTAACACTTTAAAGTTAGACTTGATTTCTTACATTTAGTAAACTAACAGAAAAGCTAGTATATATCATTATTGGGAAAATACTTACTCATTTCTTCCCATTAAGCTTACTACAATTGAAAGGGTTTTTAAGGCCATTTACCTCCAAAAGTCTGTGTCTTTCTTGATCAGTCAGCTTTGCTCTTCCGCTTGTGATTTCATCCACTGATGTTTGTAAGGGTGCGGTTTTCCCCCTAAAATTTTCTAATGTAGTTTCTGATTTGGAGTTACTAGACTTTGATCGCCATTTACTTTTAATTAAATCTTTGGGACTTCTACAAGACATCTCTGAAATTGTAAAAACAAGAACAATTATATTAAGTCCGAGTTTTGAACGTCCAATCTCAGGTTTGAAAAGGTATTAATAACCTACTTGCTAAGTAGAAAAATCTTTCTATTGAAAAAAAAGTGACATGGCCAAACCACTAGGGACTGCACCTCGAATTATTTTTGTCACCCACCCTGCCCAAGAGCAGGTGCTAACAAAATACGGATGGACTGCCTGAAGCGATTTAGGATAAGATGGACAGGAAACCAAAGAGAAACCTTTCAGCAAGGCCAAGTGCACTCGGCCTCGATTCCAGGCTACGTCAACTGCAAGTGGAGGTGAATCGTACAAAGCCTAAGGTACCACACGGGGAGGCACACGCAGGCAAGGGCAAACTTCAAGAAAGAGGCGCACTTTTTCTCTCTACAGTGAAGATGCTTGTAGAATAGATAAAATGATAATTAATCGTCAAAATGCTAAACTAAGCAGCGACCTCGGCCAAGTCGCCTGGTCCTTGCGCCGTCCGTACGGGGATGATGATACCCACCGAGAAGCTGAAAGGAAGGAGCCAAACCACAACGGTCCAGAGGCGCCCAGCCGGTGCCAGGCACTAAGTCGACGCCCGGAAAAGGGGGGCTTCAAGCAGGCGGGCAGAGATTGGGTCCGCGCCGAGGCGAGCGCTCTCCGGCCCCGCGTCCCTCGCGGTCCGGCCCTGCCCCGGGGCTGGGGGCCCTGGCCGCCCCTCGCCAACCTCCGCGGCCGCCTCCCAGCAGCCCGCCGGCTCCTGAGGCGAAAAGCCGAGCTCGCGTTGGCCGGGTCACACCTCCGGTGCCAACGCCGCTTCCGGGAGTTTGAATCCCGCGGCTGCGGGGCGGGGCACGTCACTGCCGGCGGGGACGCGGCCCGCAGGAAGGCGGGGCGGTGGAGTTGCGGCTCCCCGATTGGCTGAAACTTACCAGGGGGCGGGGCTTGGAGCCTGAATGCGGAAAAGAGGTGGGCGGAGGTGGGCGGGGCTACGGGGCGGAGTGGCGGATGGGAACGCCTCCTCCCGGCTCCGCCGCCTAGTTCTAAGGCTTTCTCTAAGTTATTTCTGAGCGCCGGGAACTCAGATTCGGTGTTTCTTTGTAAGGAGCCGGTTTGTGTTTATCCGCTTTGGGGATGAAGCAAATTCCTCTGCTCAGCGAGACAAACCCAGGGACTGTGAGCCGGGACTCACTCATCGTGTGTCCTTGGACTCCGCAGAGGAGCGCAGCTTTCCAGTCTTTCCTGGGGCTGAGCCTTTATCCTCTCAGGAGGCAGGGCTGGCGCAATGGGGAGTGAAGGAGGTGGGCGAGGTGACAGGCACGCCCAGGTTGAAAACTGAGATTCTGAGGCCTGGAGGAACCCATCAGACCTTTGTCACAGATCGCTGCCCTCTGGCTTGAGATCCATCAGTTGCCAAGTCTGGGTCGTGGTTAACTGTTTTTGAGAACTTCATTGCTAAAATGGACAGGCACAGGAAGTGCGTGGCAGGGCCTACCTTTCAAGACCAAACACACCAGAGATTTAAAACAATAGATAAAAGGTTACAGTAGCAAAACATCCGAGGAAAGCAATCAGGCACACTGGTTAAATTCTAGATTAGGATTGAGTTTAGCTCCTGCCTCTAATTATCTAGTAGTCCCGAGTAAGTTATCTAACCTCTCTGATCTTCAGTTTTCTGATCTGTAAAATGATGCAAATAATATCAACCTCACAGGGTGGTTATGAGCACTGAATGAGAAAATCTATGTAAAGTGCTTGGCATTTTTTAAATGCTCAATTGACGTTAACCCTTATTACTCAAAAAGCAACAAACTCCTATGTTACTAAATAGAATGGATGAGAAACTATATAGAGAATTTTTTAGAATTTTGTTATATGTAATGCAAGAAGATAAAGTTTGGTCCCTGCTTCCAAAGAGTTCACATTTCTGATGAAAAGGTGAAGAGAAGGATGTCTCATGTCTGTTGGTTACAAGTGTCAGATAGAATTGGAGTGGGAGGAAGTCGGGGCAACAGGTAAGTGAGGGTATGAATGTTATTCATTGACCGAGTTGAGAACAAGGGCAAAAATTACTTTCCATAAAAATTTACAAAGATTTTTAGAAAGACATGCACACAGAGAAATCACCCTACCCAGCTTTGAGCTAAATGAGTAGAGAAGAGAGTGAGTGGGAGAATCTGTGTACAGAGGTGTGACTCTGGCATCTGAGGGCCTTGTGCCTGGGCCTGCTGGGCCAGATACCCCAATTACACATCTGCTCCCCAGGTCCCTCTTTTCTGGCAAAAAGTGGACTCTATAATAAATCAAAAAAATCCAGACTTAAATTTGGTAAGTAACCTCACAGGGTGATCTGATCATAAATTCCTAACTGAGCAGGACATGGTGGGATAGACACACTGTAGACATATTTTTAGTTAAAGGTTTATTTTTGCCTTAAGCAAGCCCTGTCCAAGTGTTAATCATAAGTCATTCAATTCATAAGTCATAACCATCCTCCAGAGCAAATAATCTTGTTAACTATCCTGTACCTTGCTTTCTCCAATCTTCATGTAATCTTCCTTATGTTTCTTCTTTAATTCTAAATGTATAAATGAAACTGCAAAACTATTCTTTACCAGAGCATTTGAGATCTTGTTTCCCAATCATGTGGTCAGTTTGCTCAAATAAACTTTTATAAAAATTCTCTACAGATTTGGAAGTTTCTTAAGTCAACACATGTGACCAGGGACCCCTGAGGAAGAGGAGCTGGTACTAGAGACTCACTGGCCTTGAAGCTTGTTTATTGTCATTATTAGACCTGAAAATCAATGTTTGCTCTTCATAGATAGGGACTGCAGGGCATAAAGTGGGAGGAGGTGGTAGTTTGCACAAGACCTCTCAAGTTGATAGTACTTAGATGCTGACAGTTAACTCAGAGGAATCCTAGATCAAGGATTCACAATTTATCTTTATTCATTCACAGAGAGAAATGTGACAGCCAAGCAGGCTAGAGATTGCCTCACGCTGACTAATCTCATTTGGGAGAATTCTTATTTACCTAGCCAGTCAGTGATGCTCCCTGCCTTGGTTCTCGATTCAGGGTGCATTCTATTTGGAGAGGGTGGCTCCCTGGACACTCACTGCTCTGCCTGTTTTAACTCCTTTTAAATTTTAATTTTACGTCTGTGGGTTTATTAAAATTGTCACTGTCAGAACATCCAAACCCATAGGACATTTTTATAAGAATTTATTTGAGCCAAACAGAGGGCATGCCTGAAAGCAGGATCTCAACAGACTGAGAAAAATGTTTTCCAGAATGACAGCTTGCAGTTTCTTTGATATATTTTGAATGAAGTAGGGGATTAAGATTGGAAAGCAAGATGGGGAAATCTCTATGATTGGACTATATGATAGTTAAGATTATATGCTCCGTTGAAGGTGGTTCAGCTTCTGAGGGGTCTTTTATAAAAGGGGGAATTTTCAAAGGTGCTTTAACCTAGATGCAAAATGAAACGAAACAAAACAAAACAAAACAATGGAGTGCTTGCAAAGATAACCTCCTTCCTGGGAAGTTATAGGCCTGAAGCATAACTACACACCATGGCCTGTCCAGTTAGGAATTTATGATCAGATCACCTTATGAGATTACTTCTGATTAGATTTATTAGAGAATCCTTTTCATCCACAAGATGTTTTCTTTGTTTTCAGACTGTTGTAACAATTCAATCATTCTGCTAAAAAGTGCATTTTTACTAAGTCCCCACTGCCAGTGGGCATGGTGTCAGGGGTGAAGAGCATGGACTCTAGACCACTAATGCTCAGATCCTGGCTCCCATTACATCGGCAAGCTGCTTGACCAAACTATGCATCAGTTATTTCATCTGTAATATGGGGATGAAAAAAAATAGTACTTACTTCATAGCATAGGACAGCAGGAGAATTAAGTGAGACAAATAGCATCTGGCATGCAGTGTGCACTCAGTGGATGCTAGTTGTCGGATTCTCTGGACTGGTGCCTGCCTGCTGCCTGCCTAGGGTCACTGATTGACTGTCTCACCTCACACATGATAGTTCACCAAAATCAAATGTCTTGAGGTTCCCCACGATCACCATGTGTGTTTGTTTGACTTTATCTCAGATCACACATACATACAAAATTAACACCCAGAAATCTATGGCTTTTTTAATACACCAATAATGAACTCACAGAAAGAGATACTAAAACAAATTCCCATTTACCATTGCACCAAAAAAAAAATGAAGATATCTAGGAATGAACTTAACTAAGGAAGTAAAAGATCTGTACTCAGATCACACACACACACACCCACCCACACACACACACACACACACACACACGCACGCACACATGCGCACACGTGCACACACGTGCACAGATCAATCCAATCATTAATACTCAGTCTGGCTGTCACCTCCTTCAGGAGCCTACCCTGCCTGCCCACCCCTGCCCTGTCTTCTTTGTCTCCTTCTATCATTATACTCACTCATTATGCTGTAACTATCTGTGAGCTTCTTGTAGAGAGGAAATGTATCTTAATAACCTTGGTAGTTAATATTGGTACTGGTACCAACTAATCTTTCAATAAGTGTTTGCATTAGTACATGAATGAATGAAGACCCTTACATTTGCCTATTAAACATTTTTAATATATATATATTTTATTGATTTTTTACGAGAGGAAGGGAGTGGGATAGAGAGCCAGAAACGTCGATGGGAGAGAAACACTAATGAGTTACCTCCTGCACACTCCTCACGGGAGATGTGCCCGCAACCAAGGCACATGCCCTTGACTGGAATCGAACCTGGGACCCTTCAGTCTGCAGACTGACGCTCTCTCCACTGCGCCAAACAGGTCAGGGCTAACAAACATTTCGATGAGGAATTAAAAGTAAGCACAAGGCTTAAAATGATTTTAACTTTCCCTGTTTTATTTTTTTCTAGTTGTATTTTAGAAAATATATTAATACTTACTTGGAGAAGGTCAGATTCATTC